AGCGGTCTCGTCTTTGCTCAGGCTGGTTTTGAACTCCTGACCTTGAGCAATCTGCCTGCCTCGCCCCAGAGTGCTAGGATTACAGGCGTGAGCCACCTCTCCCGGCCAAGGTCTGTGTCTTAATGAAACTTGAAATTAAAAATTTACTCATGCTGGCCGGGCGCAGAGGCTCACGCCTGTGATCCTAGCACTCTGGGAGGCCGAGGCGGGCAGATTGCTCACAGGTCAGGAGATTCGAAACCAGCCTGACTTGAGACCCCGTCTCTACTATTAAAAAATAGAAAGAACATTAACTTGGCCAACCTAATAGTATATAGAAAAACTAGCTGGGCATAGGTGGCGCATGCCTGCTGAGTCCGGCTACTCGGGGAGCTGGGCGTAGGATCGCTTGGCAGTCCGGAGTTTTGAGGGGTTGGCTGTGAGCTGTAGGCTGCGCCGATGGCAGCTCACCTAGCCTGGGCACAAAGCAAGACTCTGTCTCAAAAAAAAAAAAATTTACTCATGCTAATAAGAGCTAAATATATAGCCTTTTAAATTGTTTCATCAAGATAAACCTTTAGTCTTTTTAGTCTTTTATTGTATGTATACTTAGGGTTTTTTTTAAATACTTTATTTGTCCATTACAAATAACATCTTTATTTCATATTCGTTAGGATTAATTTCTAATTGGCTGTTTTAAGGCTTTGCATACAAATTACATTCCCCAAAACATACCAGTTTATATTGTTACTGGCAGTAATGTGAGTATCTGTCTTAATATATTACCCTCTCTAAGTTTTGACTGGTTTGGGAGAGGGTTGGGTTTTTTTGTTTTGTTTTGTTTTTGAGGCAAGGTCTCACTCTGTCAACCCAGCTAGAGTGCAGTGGCATTGTCATAATTCACTGCAGCGTCAAACTCTTGGACTCAAGTGATTCTTCTGCCTCAGCCTCCCAAGCAGCTGTGACTACAAGTGCAGGTCACCACACATGGCTAATTTTTTCTATTTTAGTAGAGATGACGTCTTACTTTTGCTCAGGCTGGTCTATAAATTTCTCTATTAATTTTTTTTCCCAGAAAAATCTTTTGTCACCAATAGGAGTAAACCATCTTTTGTATTTAGTGAGAATTTGAGTCTAAGGACTTCTCACTTTGTCTCACTTTGTGTGTTAAGGATATTAATTGCAAATAGTTGCAAGTAATAGCCCCATTTTTTCTTTGCTTTCAATTTTATTTATATTTTATACTACAATTATGGGAGTCAAATTATAATCAAGTTTGTTTCAAGATCTGCAAGAGAAACCTGGATTTTATTTGTAAAAATATAGGTGCATTCTGTTCTTTACTAAATTTCTCATTTTCAATAGGTTCATAAAAATTAGGGACCTGAAATCACAATTTAAAAAAAAATCCACTTGACACCTAAGTTTTTCTTTTCTTTTCCTGGGCTAGAGTGCAGTAGCATCATCATAGGTCACTATAACCTCAAACTCCTAAACTCAAGTGATCCTCCTGTCTCCTGAGTAGTGGGACCACGGGTGTGTGCTACAACACCCAGCTACTTTTTCTATTTTTTGTAGAGACAAAGGCTTGAACTGCCTCAAGTGAGTCTCCCTTCTTGGCTTCCTAAAGTTCTGTGACTACAGGTGTAAACCACAGTGCCAGCAGGCACTTAATATTTTTATTGTTGTCTTTCATTATTTCCTCTAAATCCAACTTGCCATTTTAAATTGTTCTCTCTCGTACCTTTTAAAATTCCCAACTTATTCAAAAACGTATGGACTAAACATTCCTCACACTTCTGACTTAACGTTCTAACATAAAAAACAGGAAGCTAATAATTATTAATGAAAGTTATAATGGTAGGATGGAGAAAATACTACGGACACAAAATGGAGAAAAACATTAATTCCCTTTTCAGGGCTTTAGATTAAGGAAAGCTCCAAGTAGGTTTTCTTTTGATCAGGGCTTTAAAAATAGGAATAGGTACAGAAGAAGTAGGGGAAGTCATTCTAGGCAGTAGCAAAGGCATCAGTAAGTCTTGAATTTGTACGAATAGTTCATTCTAACTAGATCTCCAGTTTAAGGGGAAGAGAAAAGAAAAAAAATATTTTTTGCCCAGCATTTTTCCAATTTATGTAACCACTGAAATACCTATTATTAATAATATATGCATATTGTAGATAGTAGTTTGTCATTAAATACACTTGTTGGAGAGATAACATAATCAGTTCTGTGTTTTAGAAAGCTCATTCTGGCGGCAATATGGGGAATGGCGTGGAAGGAAAAATTGGAGTCAAGAAAACCAATTCAGGCCGGGCACGGTGGCTCACACCTGTAATCCTAGCACTCTGGGAGGTCAAGGCGGGAGGATTGCTCGAGGTCAGGAGTTCATAACCAGCCTGAGCAAGAGGGAGACCCTGTCTCTACTAAAAATAGAAAGAAATTAGTTGGCCAACTAAATAAATATAGAAAAAATTGTTAGCTGGGCATGTGGCGCATGCCTATAGTTGCCAGCTACTTTGGGAGGGCTGGGAGGCCAGAAGGAGTTGTTGAGCCACAGGAGGTTTGAGGTTGGCTGTGATTTGCTAGGCTGATGCCATGGCACTCACTTTCTAGTCTGGGCAACAGAGCATAGACTCGTGTCTCAAAAAAAAAAAAAAATCTAGAGATGATTTATGAGTATACAACGAGGATGTGATTGTATAGGTTATGATTGCAAGCTACCACACATTTTGTATCAGGGACTTGAGCATTTGCTGTATTTCTAATATCCTACAAGCGGTAGTGCCTGGGTACCAATTCTCACAGTACCAATGGACGGTGGCTATATTACTATAATTAAGGAAAATGCATTCACTTCAAAAGTGAGTTCTCATAGTGGTGCTCTGCAACATGTATGTTTGAATCGCATAATAGTCTCGACTAAAAAATAAAAAATAGTAAATCATGAATTTACAATAATTATTAAATAAAGAAATATGTAAACTCGCCAATCTTGTGACCGCAGTACTCCTCTTATTCCCCTTTGTTAGGACGCCTCTTTAAG